ATGATTCTATGATTCTATGAACACATAAAAGCATGAGTCCTAATCCAAATATAGATAGCAATAGCAGGTTACATCATTCTGCAGGTGTTTAGCCAGTGCAAAGGGAGCCTAGTAGGACTATCTTCTTCTCATAATCTCTGAACCTGCACCATTGCAGTCAGTGGGAATTTCACACTGATTTTCACAAGTACAGAATCAGGGCTTAGAAGTTTTGCCCAAATGAATTCTATACCTCAACGTCTTCCTACTCTCTCTTCTATCCACACTTTCTAGATTTTACACACCATCTACACATTTTAGAAGTTCCCTGACATGTCACTTTCCTTATATCTTTGCATTGTGACACTTCACACTGAGCCTTTCCTTTCTAATTGGCCCACTTTCTTGCATGATTTCCCAACCTGAACCCAGTCTCTCTTTCGTAATAAAGGGAGAATCTCTCTACCACTGCAACTGTATTCTAAACCAAATCACAGTAATTACTACCATCACTCAAACATCACTTCCAGGCAGAGTGCACCACAGCAGAAACTTACCGCAGTCCCATTCATCTGAGCTGTCACTGCAGTCTGCTTGCCCATCACACCAGAGCTCACGTGGCACACATTCATGGTTGGCACATTCAAGTTCACTCTCTTCACAAAATGCTGCAAGGACAAAAACGTGTTTCACTCTGAGAAAGAAATGATCAATGTGAAGTTCACGTTGAGACTGAAAAAATGAGAAGGAGGGTAAAGGTAGGCACAGATCAGATTTATGGAGCAAGAAAGTGAGACAGATTTGCAACAAAATTCAGGATGGGCATCACTGAGGCAGAAGGTGGTTGCTGCCACACGGTTGCAGAAGGCATTGCAACTCAAAGGGAAGGAAGGGTGTCTGGAAATGGCAAATTCTGTGATTACTTAGTAACATTTGTGGTCTTGTCATACGAAACCTGTCTAAGCCTCTCACAAGCTTTAAGTGAGAATATTGTGCTCCATGCTTTTTAGGAGACTGCTCCAAATCTGTTTATTTCTTCATGTTCTTTGAAAAGAATTGCATATGTATTTCCTTTCATCCACAGCAATTCTATATTCACTTTTGGATCCTCCTTTGCTATTTAAAATCATGGAATTATTTTTATCTCCATTTTAGAGACGGGGAACAGATGTACGGATAGACATCCTCCGGTTCACAGTTAGTTGCCAGTTGGCAGCATTAGATAGGGATTTCCTGAATCTCTGTCCAGTGCAGGAACCACAAGAGCTTCCATTTGCAAGTGAATTTTAGCTTTTCTCCAACCATAACAAACCCCCTCCCAAAAGGCAGGTGTATAGTATTACAGTACCTCCTCACTAACACACTTCTCTTCCAGCTTCTGAAAACCCCATTATTAGGGAATTTTTGAGAGCTGGGGAAGAGCAGAGGGGGAGAGAATGTGTGGAAGGAAGCTGCATTCAGTTGTGCCTATGTCTGGCTGTTGTACAGCATCTATACTGCCATAGAAACCAAGCATTTATTTGCAACACTAGTGCAAAAAATGTACTCCACAGTGAAAACCATACAGATAGAGCAGGCAGTGCTGCCTACTGTGACATAAATGATCTTTCTGGCTCTGGCATAAAGCGTGCAAAACTAGAAAAATCTCTCTAACTCTGCCTTCCAGAGAGAGCATATTTCAAAAGCTGGAAGCCCTCAGCTGGGGAAACTTTGCTGCCATTTTGGAATATTCAACCCCCAACACAAAAGCAGAGAGGAAATATAGCCTGACAATTACAGACTAGCTTAACATAAGCCCTCGGAGAATCTTCTCTGCTGTGATCTTAACGTGTGATCATGAGCAAATCACTTCAATACCACCTTCCTATTTTTTAGATTACAGCACGCAGACCTCTTGGAAGTCAAATGGTATAATCTTCACAAGGAAAAGCAGATTAAGAAATGTCCTGTGAGCTGCCTCTTCCCAAAAAGAAACAAAGTTAGATCTAGTGATACATGCAGGCTGCCAATCATTTTGGCAAACATATTCATATGCTCCACATAGTACATAAAATGTGCCTACCATCCTGTCTCCACCAAGAGAACTCCAGAGACGCAGGAGCAATCTTTTTTTAAATTGTAAAATTATATCCTACAGTCCCAGCAAAAATGCTGAAATACCAGTTTTGCCCAGAGAACTAAAATTTCAGCTTTTAACCAAGTTTACCAAGCATCTCATCTTTCTTGTGCAGGCCGAGTGTCATCCAGAATGTCTTTTCCAGTTCCTTGTCTTGGGGACATGCCCACACACCAGGTTTTCTCAAAAGAAGAGAATTCAGAGTACCACTAATATATTCATGAAAGTGAAGCTAACATCTCATGGCACCCACGCCCAGCTTCGCATGCAGGGTGGGAGCCTGCAAAGCAGCTGCCGTTTGCAGGTCTTCCACCTCTTCCCATCCCACCAGTCAGCTGCATAGTGGAAACAGAACAGAGGGCAGCTCCCGCAAGGGACCAGGGGCCTACTGCACACTGTCAGCACTTTGAGCCATCTTACACTGTGCACATGGACAGTATGCCCATATCGTCAGTGTACCATACTAAGTTTTGTATCATCTCTGATACTTATCACAGTTTGGGTTGTAGAAGAAGCCTGTGGAGCCAAGTGGGGAGACAGAATCTAAGAAATGTCTAGCAGAAGAGAAATCAAATAAAGCAGGGACACATATGAAATTTACTGAAGAACAGATCAGAAGGAAAATCAAGTGGAAATTAAGAAAAAAAAGAGCAGTGAGGAGCTATACCTATATGGAATGAAGTTGAGAAAAGTCAGGAAAAGGAGTCAAGAAGGTACAAGGAATAAAGAAAAGAAGCACGAAGACAGAAGAAGGAGGAGGGAGAGTGAGAAAAAAAGAGAGAGGACCGGAGTGACCGAGGAGACAGCAAGGATCCAAGGATGTAAACAACAGAGGACACAAGATGAGGAAAGAGATAAATTGGTGCCATAGCAAAACTGAAAAGGAAACTGAGGGAATGACTAAGCCTTTCTGTCTGTAGAAAACCTTTTTACTTTCATTTACTTTGCACCCCAAGATCCCCAAAATCTTATCAGCCCTTTAGGGGAATAACAATAAGACCTTACAGCAGTTCTTTTCATCCATCATGTCAGGACAGTCTGGGAAACCATCACAGATCATAGTGTGTTTGATGCACAGCTTCTTCAAAGGACACTCCCAAAGACCCCTTTCTCTACAACCTGAAGGCAGAGAAGAATAGTTTTGAAACACTTGCATGCAATATCTAATCAACTGTTTTCTTCTTCCTTGGTAATCCTGAAACACCCAAAATAACTTGCAATATCAATTTTAAAAGGTACCAAGAATAGTTACTAATGAAGAAGTGGAAATAAGATTATCACAGTGCACGCTTGATAAAGTGGTATAAAATATATAATACTTCACAATACTTCAGTGCTTTTTAAATAATAAGGAGAAATATGTAATTGTTTCTGGCAGTGCTGATACAGAACCTAATGCAGATCACAATGAAAGGTAGAGAGATGCTGTAAGTATTGACCTCAAACAGTCTTCCTGGTTCCATAATCTGAGACCAAACCAGTTTGAAAAGATTAGAAAGACCCAATGGCTGTCTGAATCTTCAGGAGGGTTCATTATTATGTAAGGAACACATCACATTATTGTCTCTTCAAAGTCCAGCTAATTAGCCTCTCTGATTTCAAGAGGAATACTTATAAAACTGTGTCAAAGTGCTTCGACAGTAAAATTCCTGTTAGTCAGATAGAGGAAATTAAAAATGGCCCAAGGTACATTTTAGAAAAATGTTTTCTCTTGTTTTATTTCACTATTTATTTCCATCAACTAATAAAGCACTTCACTGTGATACCAGTTTAAAGACTTTGACATATTAATGTCCTGCACATCTGACATTCTTGTTTCACAGGAAGCCATAAAAACAACGTGTTCTCCGACTAAAACAGATGGTTTGATTGCCTTGTTTGGCCTGTTCTATAGATGATACTAACTAGTTTTCATTTTAATCCAAGCTCAAATTCAGGTGACAGCCCTGATGTCCCCACACACAAATAATTGAGGTATAAGCTCACAAACTGCATTTGAAGCAGCACCTCTGTTTGCCTGGACCTGGAACTACAGCAGTATATCAGCAGTAAGCTACTAAGCAGATATGTTGTTTCCAAGAAGTGTTATTTCAGAAGTGAATATTTTACAAACATGAACCAGAGAATCACTACTAGCTCATATGATTACTGGAAAAATCTACTCACATTTTAACTGTAACTGGATGTGTGGAGTGCTTGATTTTGTTTAGATTGAAAAAGCCATATAAATAAATGTTACAGCACAGAGAAACAAACAGCCTTCAACCTGTGAAACTAATTCCACATGATCAAAGAACTTTCTTGGGTATCACCATTTTCCAGGTCTCCTTCTTGACAATATTTGTGATAACTATTAATGAAAAATTAATTGAAACCAAACAAAACCTTTACTCTGCTAAAGAACAAAGAATGTCAGTCATGTTAGGAATTTGATATGAAAATAAAATAAAAAAAGATTAAAAAAATATAATTTATGAACCTTGCAATTTTTTAGCAGAGTGTTTACAATTAATTAAATACATATTTAGTGTATTTATATTTCTGCTGTAAATATTTTTGTAATATACATTTTTAATTTAAGGACAATGAAATGGAAGTGAAAATGGAGGTAGGAAAACTTGTCCATATTTACATTACCCCATCTCAAACATACTTTTTGGCAAGAGATAGGGATTCACATACGATCTTACCTTCATTCTTCTTCAAAATATGAAGCAAGTTACCATTTGTTATTCACATGTATATTCCCCATGCAATTATTATTAAGTCATTAACATTAAGACCACCACATTTTTCTCTCAACTAAAATACTACAGTCAGAACTCAGATTACAGAAAATAGTGAAGGACAATACTGGTTTTGAATGTTATGTCTTCAATTTCTTTAGTACTCTTCTAGGACCCTCTTCTGCTCTCTGCCAGAGGCATTCTTCAGCAGCCAGTAAGTTAGTATTATCAATCAAGTATATTTAATATCACAAACTCTCGTAACGTCTATCATAATAATTTTCAGAAATTACCTTCCTCACACTTCACTGAAATGCACTTAGAAGTCTCACATTCAGAAATCTGGGTCAAATTTTCTCCCCAAATCTTAATCTAAATGGCACTAAAGTCTTAGGATTTCACTGCAATTGCATGGGTGAGATTTCCTCTCACAAAGATCACATGAGAGTATGACAGGGATTCCTAACAGGAGAAGACAGTGGGTGCTGAATACAGCTCTTCTCTGCATGGGCAGAATGTACCTTAGTCCCCTTGGACTGTTCTACCTTATATTTTTGGCCAGAGTAGCTTGAGCATCCAAAAACTGTAGCTAGTCTTTTCCAGCCTCCTCCTCCCTGCACTGTGAAGTTGTTCCCGGCCTGTCATTTAAGGCACTTCAAATATAAGTTTTTTAATTTAAATGCTGACTGTTATTTAATGGTATAAAACCAATTTCAAAGGATAAATCTAATAAAATGTGATCTAGCCATTTACACATAAAAAGATCATCAAGTTTTGATTTTGTCCTGCACACGTGGAATATGAATGAGTCAGAGACATTTACTTCTGGAGCTCTACAAGGACTTTCTGTTTTTCAGTAACAGCATTACCCCTGGTCAATGTAATGTCACTCTGACAGCAGTAATTTCCTAGCAGATACAGTCTTCCATATTTATAGAAACTGATAAGAATTCCGCTGATTGCTAGTGACATTCTGTCTAGACTATAGAGACAGAGAGAGATCCACTCGAGAAATGAATGTTATATATTAGAGCAGTATTTCATATGTTAATGTCTAGGAGAATAAAATAATCCTAAAAGACACAGAGCAATTAGTCTTCTAAGCAATTAAGAACAGGTGGCAACAAAGAATATTTGGCAGGGAGGACAACTGATTCAAAGGTAAAGCGATGATAAACTCTGAAAGAGTCACTGTAGTCATCAGCTCTGCCTTTCCTTTATAATCCAAACAAGAGAATGACCAAGTATTAAATCTTGTTTCAGTGAGCACATCTTTTTTTTCTTTTTGCTTTCTTTTTGCAGGGGGAGGGGAATGGGGCAGAAAGAGGAGAGAGAACGTAAGCATGATTTGAAAACTCCCAGAGATTGAGAATACATCGTGCCTTAGCGATAAATAACCCCTTGGTTACTCCAATCATTAAAAAAACCTGCTCTTAAAAAAGAAGCATTTTATAGAGCTGACAATCTTGAATTTTAGCCTAGCTTCAGCTTTCAGGTGTTGGATCTTATTTTATTTTTGTGCAGCTGAGTGGAAAGTCTTTCATTGCCACAGTTTTGTTGCTCACATAAACTGTGCTTCCATCTTAATCTGCTCGTTGTTAAAAAAACCAGGTTGTGCACCTTAGCCCTACTCTGCTGGAATGTTTTCCATCCTTTACTCATATTCACACCTCTTCTCTAAATCCTTAGTGATTTATAATTATTCTCTTTGCCCCTAGGGATGCCAGGCCAGCATGCAGAACTCCATGGAGGCTACGCCTTAGTCACATAAAGAAATAGTATAAACTCCCTTTTCTTTCTCAAAATTCTCCTGCCAGCACATACAAGGATAAATAGTGACCAAGAGGTTTGTTGATTACTCTCAAGCTCAATACATCCCCTTAAGTTAAAAGTCAAGAGCACCTCTACCATAAGTAAGCTCACAAATATTCTGGAGAATAAACTTTGTGGTTACCACTTTATCCTTGTAAGTACAGCTTGAGGTTGACCAATCTGAAAAAACATGTAATTCTTGATCCTTGCAGTACAGAATCCACTTCAGCAACACAGATCTTTTGTCAATATATCATAATAAGAATATTACCATGTATAAATTAAAAACTACATTTATGAATTCAAGATTTAAATTGCCAGGAAGTCATGTTTTAGCTCAGTAGAACCTCCAGCAATATCAAAAGAATTAAATCTGCAGCATATTTTATCTTGATTACTAAAGGGATACTGAAACATCCTGGAATACAGTTAGCAGAATCTAAATGATCAAATATCATAAATTGTGTTGACATTAATCAAGAATGATGCTTGCTAAAGTATTTTTACTGCCACTAGTCTTAAAAAAAAACACTTTCAAACATATTTTTCTGACAGAAAAAGGGGCTTATCCTCTGAACTGTCATGCTATGGTTCAAATAACTGAAAGAAAAACAAAACTTATTTTCTAATGCTTCAACTACTCTCCATTCAAAAGATCCAACTCATCGAATTTGTTTACCACAGCTGTCCTCATCACTATCATCCTCACAGTCAGCTTGACCATCACATCTTCTGGATGCCAGGACACACCTCCCAGAACGGCACTTGAAGTGACTGGGTGAGCATTCTGTCAATGACAAGGAACAGGCAGAAACAAGACTCCATAAGCTGCAAGTTTTATCATCACATGGATATTTATTTATCACTTTGACAGTTTTGGAAGGGTAAATGACAGGAATAGAAAGCTTGTGCGATACTAAGCTGGAACTATGCAGCAGGCAAGACTCTTAACAATTGCACTGTGAATGGGGTGGAGCAATATTTTCCAGAGCTCTCCCTCACATGCTACCCTCTGTCAAATTTCAAAGCTTTGCCAAATAATTGGCATACAATGGTTAGATCGTGGGCATGGATTTTCTAGCTACTTTTCTCACTGTTGTGGTGTTGTGTGAAGGAGGAAAAGATCATCTGTTGAGTTGAAATGAGTATAAGAGATGCCCAGGATTAAAAAAAAAAAAAGTGTATTTTGGCAACTGTGTGGCTATTTGAATTAATAAAACCACCTACAAATGTCCACTAATTAACCCTTATATCTCTTCTCTCTCATCTTACAGAGTACCATTTTGAGAAAGCTTTATTTAGATGGTTTTGAAAAACCCATGCATTTTTTCACACTGTACATGTCACTAACTTTGATGCACAACTTCCATTATATGTTGCCTTTTTTTTTGCCTTCCTGCAAAATCTCTCAGATATTTAATATCATGCAGTTCCTTGGGTAAATTTTAGGATTCAATAAATAGTTGTACCAAAAATATCATCAATGAACTCAGGAGCCTTAGAAAATAACATTCTAATGATAAAAGGTATGTGAACTATACTGCCAACATTTAAGAATAACTCATTATGAAAATAACTAAGTTTACAATGCATACTGTCTTGGCCAGCAGTATTCTTGGATTCAGCACTGACTGGAAGAGAAGTCAAGCAACTCAGCACATTGTAATAACTCTGTCAATTATAGTTTAAGTTGGAAAATCACCTATATTTTGTAATCATAAACATTTTAAATGTTCTCAGAAGCTTAATTTCTTTTGTTACATGTGGTTTTTTCAGAAATATTTATATAAGATTTTAAACTTCCCAGGGAAAACTTTCTAGCCAACATTGGTAGTCAGTAGAAATCTGGCATTGAATCAACATAAAATTCTAGCAGTAAGGGAACCCAAAACAACTCTGATAAGACCTCTTAATTAGTTACATTGTTTCTAAAAGAATACTAAAAACCCCTCCTTTTTCATTGATATTTCAGGAGTATCTATTTCAGTGCTAAGATGATCAATAAGCAGTGAATCAGCTTACTAGGCAGAGTCCTTCTTACTAAAGTGAGAATTTTTAAAAATTATAATTTTTGTAAGTGTACAGAATTTATCTCTAGAAATGGAACACACTAGTCCTGTATGCAGTAGTATATTTAAAACATAACCATCCTATGTTACATTTCAAAGCCAAATGGTCTACTAACACAGGGAGGAAGGTTAAAAGACATCTGATACCTGAGAAAATTAAATCAAGGTATTTTTCTTTAACTCACCTTGTTGTCCCAAAATCTTACTTTTCCTTTCCTACACACTGCTGTGTAATAATGGATAATTCCTTTCCATCAGCCCACTACTGTAGAGGGAAATTATCTCCCTGTCTCTCCAGAGTCCCACGACAGAGGATTTCATTACTATGGTATTACATGTCTTTATAAAATCCTCACAGTGATATATGTGCACATGGGCTTTGCTTGAAGAAATAGTACTAACTGCTATATATGCTTCACTGGTTTTTCATGATTCCTTCACTGTATTCACAGCAATACATCTTCACTAAAAGAACTATATACTAACTAGCTTTCGCCCATTGCTTTCTCTGAGCAAGAGCAAGACTGTGGAAAGACCGTCATCACTGTGTAGGTGAGTAGGAGGAGAAGAGTGAGAACTCAACACGATCAGCATACGCAGGCACTGTAGCACACACTATCTCACTATTTTCCCAGCTACTTTACTGGCATTTTTGCAAGAAAAAGGAAAGGGATGTCAGAATCCCCACAGACCTCGCATCCGATGACCACTGCAGAAGGAAAAGCTGCACAGCTTCCCTCTTCATACATACAAAGAATATCTAGAAGCACTTAAGGCAATTTCATTCTTTTGTTTCATATTCACACCACAATGATTAGTATTATGGCTGAACTAAAAAACTGAAATTTGTCAGTTGCTACTGAAGCTCATTTGGCACAATTCTCTACAAAACTTTCCCCAAACAAAAACCAAGCTGGCAAAGACACTAACATTACAATATTTTTCTCAGAGCTGTCGTGGGGCTCAGCTTTTTTAAGATTGCCAAGAGTCTGCCTCCTGGTTAGAAAAGCGTTATTATATCATCTAAATAGGTAAAAAAGTGAAGTATAAACACAAGCAAGCAGTAGGTGTGGTGTTAGCAACAAATCTTAAACACTGACTTTTACAGATGGAGGGTAATTGATCCTTCCTTCGAATAGATTTCTTATGAGAACTTCCTCTTACCTGCATACTGCAAATTCCCTGAAACCCAGAAACCCCGTTTGGAATAATTTCCACAGTTTAAATATTGTAATTTAAAGAAGAGGTATGGGAAAAAAAATCAGTGACTTTGGGAACCTAATTAAATCTTTAATTTCCTGTTATATGTATTTATAGGAGTTACCTTCTACATCTTCATCTGGTGTTAGACAAGTTTGGTTGTCTGAGTTCTCATCTGGAAACTGAGTGCAGTCAGTATCTTCTGGCCACTGCAGACCTACAATCCCAAGCACAGACTCACAGCGTTCCTTAGACTGTATACATAATGTCCTGAGGAGACAAAGTGGAATTGCACAAAGTAACTGAGTGAAAGTCTTAGAAATTCCCATTATTGGAAGTTAATAATCCTAGCCAAAGTTAAAGATGAAGATCAAGGAAAAATCAGTTAATCAGATTTCTTTACATGAAAAAAAAAAATCAAAAAATATGTTGTTACTGTTGAAACATTATTTTAAGTTACTGTATGGAGACTATTAACTGAGTTATAACATAATAGCCAAATATAACTACTTACAAACATCCTCTCCTCTGTAGGGGATGGCAGAGAACCTTTTTAAAGAAGCACTAACTGACCTCCTTCAGGAAAAAAAGCCAAATACATTTTGTACCAGTGAAATGCTACCTCTTCTGATGATGCTACCTCAGAAACCATGTGGTTTCAGAAGGACAAAATATTTAAACCTGCAAACAAAAGAGCAAAGGACTCCCCAGAGAATTCAATAAAATTAAAAGTTTGGGGAAAACCAAAGCATAGATCAACCTAGTCTTGAGGGTGTTGTCAGTTAGAGCAATAGAAGCTTGTATCACACCTGGAAAAAGGCATGAATACAGTCCTGCTGCTGCATTTTTTTTTTTACCATAGGAAGACAGGACTTGCCACACAAAACTAGTTCAGTCTATCTAGATTAATATCCCGTCTCTCAAAATACCCAATGTCAAATGCTTCAAAAGTACAAAGAGAAAATGCATAATAGAAAAATCCTCTATTATTTTAAGCATTATTTTAAACATTTAGCAACTACTTTTGCCTGGAATCATAGCTGGTGTGCTGTTCAATACAATAGTCCTGTCTTGTATCTGTGGTATTTTGAATCCCTGTTTGTTTCAACTGCCTCTTTTTCTTTTATTTTTGTGAAATATCCCAAACTAGACAGTATGGGATTAGAAACCTCAACATCCTCTTCATCTCTTCCTCCAAACAGAAACATGCATCATGCTTAACAGGTATTTGTCTAAGCTGTTCTTAAAAACTATTCAGTTAGCAAGACTTCATATACTTCCTTACACAGATACCTGTTATTTTCCTTATATCTGACCTATAGCTCTCCTGATGTACTTTAAATCCATTGCTTCTTGGTTTCACCTCAGTGAACAAGGTGAACAATTTGTTTTCTCACAGAAGCTCACTTTTATGTATTTGAAGGCTATGATGACTCCCCAAGTCTTCTCTTGTTTCTAGACTCAGCAGCTCCTTTAATTGCACCTTTTAGATCATATTTTCTAAACCTATAATCATTTGGACTTTCTCCTACCATTTCAAAGAAAATTCTTTGTTCTTACAGGTTGAAAAATATTCCACAGTAGGATCCCACCCATTTCTATTTTTTTCGGTTTCCTTCATGTCACTTTTAACTTGCCTTTTATTTAATTTGATTAATTTTTCCAGATCTTTCTTCTAGGAACAGATACTCCTTTCGTGGAAGGCATTTTATTCCACTCATTTTCCTCTAATCTTTTGACCAATGGACCATTTTTTTTCCTGCAATAAGCTTCAAGAAATGCAGTAACCAAAACCAAGCAAACAGATCCATTTAGGATCAATTATTTTATGCTCTTTTAAGAAAACAATACATTACAAATCATCCCAAATTTAATTTTGTTTTGGGGGATTGCACGAAGAAGAGTCAATGTTTTTCTACACCAAGTGATTCACCATTGCCTTTAGCAGCTGGAAGGAATGGATGAATGGATTGCAATCAGTTAAACCATGCTACAGTTACAGACTCTCTCTTTCCTTTTAGATCCTCCTCAATATCAAAAAGGTTGACTCACACCACTTTATAACCTCAGCTTTCTGAATGCCAGAATTATTATTTACCAATGACAAAACCCAAAAACCAACAACAATAATATGATGAATACATTTTAAAAATTTTATTTTGTCAGCTGAGACATCTAAGCAATTTCTGTCCTGTGTTCTCTGCACATTTAAATCTTTAGCCAAAGCTGACCCTTTGCAAAAGCTATTGCAAGCCACTTAGTTGTCAGTCTGTGGAGAAAGAATTAAAATGTAGATAATCTTCAAAGTAGTGTCCATCACAGTGCATATGGAAGCCTATTGCAATACTGCTAGGAAAATTGGAAGAGTAACTGGTACTTTTTGGGTTTTTTAATCCTTCCCACATTTCCATACCAAGTTTCACACTTGGGGTATCAGAATAATACCTTGGTAACAGACTTCTTTCCTTACTTCTCAGTAAAATTTCATCTGTGGTACTGTCTATGAATCAATCTAACAAGTTAACAGTTAATAAGAGTACACATCACAAAGCAGAGAAATCTCCCCCTCCTCGGTAGGAGAAAGAAATATAAGGTTAAAAAAAAGATGTAGCATAGAAATGTGTAATTTTCTGCAATGGAATTCAATCTAGTACTTTTTTAAGAACATTAAGCATATTTAGCAGTTAACTAAAATCTCTCTCTACTCTGCCAATTCAAATGCAGTAACGGGATGCCTAAATTGACACCAACACATAAGGGGCATGAGATTTGACCAGGATTATTTTTCATACACATCTGTCACAGTTTTGAAACAACACAAAAGTCAGCTGGAGACTACTTCGATACACAGAGTAATCTCCATGTCATTATAGGCTAACGTGACTAGGATAGCATATGTCCTATCCAGTGATAGGACGTGTGGGAATGGTTCAAAGCTGTGCCAGGGGAGGTTTAGACTGGATATTAGGAAGCATTTCTTTACCAAGAGGGTGGTCAAATGCTGGAACAGGCTTCCTAGAGAGGTGGTCAATGCCCCAAACCTGTCAGTGTTTAAGAGGCATTTGGACAATGCCCTTAATAACATGCTTTAACTTGGTCAGCCCTGAATTGGTCAGGCAGTTGGACTAGATGATCATTGTAGGTCCCTTCCAACTGAAATAGTCTATTCTATTCTATTCAGTATATACATTTTGAAAATTATTGAACAGATATTCCTCTCCTTGTTTTGAATACTTCAGATACTAACCATGTGTAATAAACTGCATTTAATGATCTTATAAAATATGGTTCTCTACCTTTTGCTATGGAATTCCAGAGCAAAATTTCTGGCATTTTCAATGGAAACAGAAAATTGGGAAAGACTAATATGACAGACAATGTCAGCCAAGAATTAAATGAAGTATAGTATAGTACCTGCAAGGTGGAATCCGCTGATTTGTATGGGGGTCACATTTTGGTACTAAGATTGTACAGGCAAAAAACATAAGGTACTTGTAGCAGTTGGTCTGAACCAAGGCTGGGAAAAGAGAAGATTCCCAGCTGATAGAGGCTTCCTTCTGCGTCCTGTGGCCCAGGTAGTTTGGGTAATAAGTATAGTTGTAAGGCAAGTTCATACACAGTTCCAGAGTAATTGGTTCACACTGACCTTTCACAGAAAGAAAATAAAAAAAGAAACACAAATGGTATGAGATTAAAAGATTAAATGAAATATGGAAGAAATAATTACATGAGTAACAAATTTATCAGTCAGGGGATTTCCTCTCAGGTTTGAGAAACTACAAGTTTCAGAGCTCAAGACCCCATATGAGCCTATTCATACTGGTAAAGAAAGGTGGGTTTGACCTCTGCCTACCTAATAACCTCTTCAGAAACTTACATTCCCTTACCAATATGCATTAACTTCCCAAATAACATCTTAACTTAACATGGTACAATAAACCATTCTTTAAAAATAGATTTATTCTTTTCAAATCAAGTTTCTGATGATTTTCAAGAGCTCCTATACCGTACAGCAATACACTTCCTACTGGTATACTATGCTACCATAACACACTTCATACTGGCAGGGCAATTATCAAAATTAAGACGACTGGGATCATAGGATACTTTGGGTTGGAAAGGATCTCAGGAGGTCTCTAGTCCAACATCCTGCTCAAAGCTTGGTCAGCTCTGAGGACTGATCAGGTTTCTCAAGGCTTTATTCAGTCAGGTCTTGAAAAATCTCTAATGACAGACACTGCACAATTTCTCTGTACAGAAAACAGAAGGCAGGATTTTTTTTTTTTAAATTTTATTTTATTTTTTGCATACTAACATCTGAAGGAAGAATGGGGACAATTAGGTTATGTATTGCACAAACATGGAGTAAGAGCCAGTCTACATGCTAATAATTTAATTCAGATAAGACATAATTGATAATAAAGAGAATAAGAGCAAAATAAATGCAACAGCTACAAGTCAATATGATTACATAGACTATAGCTATATACAAAAATCGTCCAGCTTTTAGAGGGTTTATCACAACACATATTGAACTGACCGAGTATTTTGGATTTAAAAAAATTGTACAGATTTTGTATTTCTTCCCAAATACTTATTTTTCAATTTTTCACCACAACAGAAAACAACAGACAGAATTTCACTTCAATTCAGACTGAAATTCAGCTTTTTATTTAGCACTGAGACCAATGTGAAATTATTTAATTTTATTTACTTTTGAAATATGAGAAAATTTTCCATGAAAAAGTGTACTATTCAAAAGTAATTTGTTATCAAAAGACTGCATATATTTGCCTATTCTGGAAGCAAATGTATCTTAACATGATTAATATTCTCTGCCAGCTAGTGTCAGTTGCCAGCACAGTGTGGCAACTGTGTGATCCTATAGCTGGTTCTTTGAGAGGAAGTTGAAAGAAGATCCAATAGTCAATTATTCACCTGATCAGCAGAACTAGCCAGTCTTTCTTGGACTGGCATTCCCTGTTATAACCTCTTTTACTATTTACCTCTAATCTGAGGATCACGAACCTCATTTTATATACAGCTTTTCCTCTCTGCTAAATCCTTGCATACTGCCAATACTGAAAAATTTCTGTTGTCACAAACCACTTAGTCCCAGTTTTGAGGTATATGAGGTTCAAAGATTTCAACAATCCTCCTCACATTACTGCCATTTCCTTTTCTTCATGATGAACTCTCCCTTGTCCTCCCACACTTCAGCCCCAGATACCCAGATCAGTTTCGTTTTGTCTTTTGATTTTTCCCCAGTAAAAGTGTTTTCTTGACGTGTACAGAATATTACATGTTCATCAGTATTTCATGATGAAACCCGAGTAAATGAACACAAAAGTACATGCAGTGTTCTAAGTGTATAACATAACATTATTCAAGACTAAAGGGTAGAAATGCACATATATCATTCTCTCTTTTGTTATGCCTCATATTTACAGGGGTTTAGGTGAATTCTAGAAGAAAACCTAGTCCACTGAAATGCCCCTGTAGGATAGCTCTTTACATATTTTCAATATGATTACAATTTTCACATTGTGTTTAGAAACCTTCTATCACACTATGTGCAAAAGTGTCATCGAAGGTTTGAGAAGAATAACTTTGACTCTCACACCCAATTCCCTACAATCCACAAGCAGAGTAACAAACAGAACATAGACTCCCGGGGAACATCTGACTGAATTTAAGTAACCCAAATGTTAATCTTTCCTTCTGATGTCTGTCCCACAGTTTAAGAGATCTTGCCACTCCCTTATTTATAGTATATGTAAGTACAACCTAATGAGTGAGGAACAAGGAATAAAATTCATTACATCTTTTATCCTAAATAAAAAAAGAAAAAAAACCAGATTATGCCTGGGTTTAATATCGTCATGTATTTATTACTAACTTGCTCTACCTACTATATAGGAATTAGTTCCAAACATAGTAACAGAAGTGAATGGCATATGTCACAGAATCATAGAATGGCTGAGATTAGAAGGCACCTCTGGAGGTTTAGGTGAATTCTAGAAGAAAACCTAGTCCACTGAAATGCCCCTGTAGGATAGCTCTTTACATATTTTCAATATGATTACAATTTTCACATTGTGTTTAGAAACCTTCTATCACACTATGTGCAAAAGTGTCATTGAAGGTTTGAGAAGAATAACTTTGACTCTCACACCCAATTCCCTACAATCCACAAGCAGAGTAACAAACAGAACATAGACTCCCGGGGAACATCTGACTGAATTTAAGTAACCCAAATGTTAATCTTTCCTTCTGATGTCTGTCCCACAGTTTAAGAGATCTTGCCACTCCCTTATTTATAGTATATGTAAGTACAACCTAATGAGTGAGGAACAAGGAATAAAATTCATTACATCTTTTATCCTAAATAAAAAAAGAAAAAAAACCAGATTATGCCTGGGTTTAATATCGTCATGTATTTATTACTAACTTGCTCTACCTACTATATAGGAATTAGTTCCAAACATAGTAACAGAAGTGAATGGCATATGTCACAGAATCATAGAATGGCTGAGATTGGAAGGCACCTCTGGAGGTCATCTGGTCCAACTGCCCTGCTCAAGCAGAGCCACCTAGAGCAGTTTGTGCAGAACCATGCCCAGACCGCTTTTGACTGTCTCCAACGACGGAGTCTCCAAAATCTCTCTGGGCAACCTGTGTTCAGTCACCCTCACGGTAAAAAAAGTGTTTCCTTATGTTCAGAGGGAACCTCCTGTGTTTCAGTTTGTGCCCATTGCCCCCGGTCCTGTCACTGAGCACCAAAATAGCCTGGCTCGGTCTTTTTTACACTCTCCTTTCAGATATTTATTCTGTTATCCTAAATATGTTGTAACTGCATTATAATGCAGAGCCTAAACTGATCAGACATTATCATACATGATGAACATCCATCATATTTAATATTACAAAATGTGGCCTATGCTTTGGAATTTTCCAACCAAAGAGTTATCTGGGCCAGAAATACTGCTTTGTCAAAACTGAAATTTTCCACAGGAATTCTCATCTCTTACCAAAGATGAAATAACTCTGGTCAAAATATGAACATGAAAAAAGACAATAGTACTACCAGATGTTATGCAAGAAAAATCTCTCCCAAATTCTCTTGCTGTTCCATTGTGTATAAACAATTAAATATTCGTTGGACCGGCAAGGGAGAAAGAGGGATGATTCAGAAGTCCAATTCAGATTATGTGTTACTCCTGTTGAGAATTATGGACTGTTGCCCACAATTTGATGAGGAAACATCTTCACTAAAAAGCTCTTGGGTTTCTCATGACACGGAATAGGAACATTGTTTTAGAACTCAAATATCACATGTCAAAAATGTTTTTCACTATCTTGTAACATAGTCCTAGCCACTCGAATGTTTTCCAAAATTGCTGTCCATACATGCAATGGGATACAAAAATCTTCATTGATCAGGAAAAGATTTTGGACCACAAACTGCTTTGGACCACAGTAAGTCTCATACTGATTTATCCACAAGGAAGATGAGTCCAAGAAAGAAAGTACACTTCCAGCTCTCTTATTGTGAGAAAGACTGGATTGCAGTTACACTGCTTGAAAGACTGTTGCATTTTACAGGACTGTAGTTTGCTGTTTATTAAAGGTAATTTGCTTAAGAGACAACTGCTCACTGAGTATATAAGAACCAGAGGCTACTGTGCGAATTTACATATTTTCCTACTTGTTGGGTAAGACTGCTGCTGGTGCCTTGTTTGCCAGCCAAACAGAGGACCTGTCTTGTATATGACTGGTGACTACACAGCCATCAGCTGTGAGTCCAATGTTGATCCTGTCACAGTATATCAGATACATTTTATGTGTTCTTTACTAAGCATTTTAAGTATGTAAAAATAAATAAAATTACAAAATATTGTCTTTTTTTGACCTGAGTAAATGTAAAGTTGCTACAGTTTTAAACATATAAAACGGGGTTTAGTGTAACGCCTGTTAAGTTTTGGAAGCCCCCCATTCCTGGGTAAACTGCAGTTTTGTGGCAAAGTCAGTAACGCTCAAATAAAAAAGCCGAATCTTCAAATGGAGAAACCAAGAAGTAACACCTGTTCTTAGAGGCACAAGCTGCTAAAGCACAAGCTCCTGCAGGCAGAGAGATCTGGGACTAAGCATCCTCCCAAGAGCCTTCAGCCCACAGAGAATCAATCTTATCATACACATTTAAACTTGTGACTAGCTAGAGTGGAGTTACTCAAATCAGTAATTATATCTCAATGAATACTCATGTATTCTGACCTTAAAACATCAGGAAAATATGACCTTCAAATCTCACCAAAGACAAGAAAAGATTACTTGAAGAACTGTTTTCTTTGGAGATGCCAGGTACCTACAGT